GGCGCACCGAAGAGGAGGAGATTTTTTTTTTTTTTTTTGGTCCGGGTGGGGGAAGGAGGGCGGGCTCTCACTGCACGCGGGAGCTTGGAGCAGTCTCTCGCGTGGGCAGGGGAGGGCGCACGCCGCGGAGCCCGGCTGCAGGGGCTGGGGGAGGGGGTTGGGAAGAAGAGGGGCGCACTTCCACACCCTCCGACCCATTAAGTCTTGAGTATCCTGGCTGGGTTTTACTGAGAGCTGGGACCTGTGCCCACTCCCCTTTGGGATGGGGGTAGGATAGAAAGGCCCCCACCTCTCAGCCTGAGTGGGGACTGGTGTCTCTTCTAAAGGGTGAGGTGGCTTTGACCCCGGGTTGCCGGGCCAGCGCGACCGAGGCGGTGGCTGGACAGCTGGAGGATGAACGGAGAGGCCGACTGCCCCACAGACCTGGAAATGGCCGCCCCCAAAGGCCAAGGTAGGGGTCCTCCACCCCCAGCCCTTTTTAACTTAAATCTTCTTTCCCACATGTCTGTCTGCAGGGCTCTCCTTCTAAAGGATTCTCTTCTGCATTCTCTGATCTTGGAGAGGATGTATTGAGCATAATTTTATAAGTTGAGCATCATTCACACTTGGAAGGAATAATTTAGTTTGGCCAAATCCAAATTATTTGGCTTTGAGACTGTAAATTGTGTCTTTCACAAACCTCTCGCTCGTGTTTGAGGGAGAAGGGAGACCCGTAAAAGTTGTCTTTTGAAAGTCGTCTTTCTGAGGTTCCAGGTCATCCTGAAGTGTGTCCCTGCTTGGATTCCTGGGCTGGAAGGATGAGGATTGAGAGGGGGTGGGGGATTGGGTGCAGCAGGACTGGGAAGGCTTTTTAGGTTTTTTATTATCATTATTACTATTATTATTGTTGTTGTTAAAAATAAGGTTTTGGCAGAGGCAGGCGGAAAGAATGTGCATTTTGGTGAGTTTGGTGGCCCCAGGCCATGGAAGTTATATACACAACCAGACCCCAGCTTCATCCAAGAGGAACCTAGTATAGTTGGGCATGGGGAGTAGAAGTAAGCTCAGCATCTGGCAATGCTTGTAGGACATTGAGGGGTGAAAAGATTATGGGGTCCATGTGACCCTGCTCTGTAGAAACCCTGGACCAGGTTACCATATGCAAGTAAAAGTGAGGAGCCTCTTTGACTTGGAGCCATGGATGGCTACTATCCCAGCTCACCTTCCAGGACAGTCACTCTTTAGAGAGGCCCCAAGCTCTCAGAATTGCATTTCAGTGGCTGAAAATAGCTGGGTCAGATCCCCTTTTTTGTTCCCTAAGGAGTTTAAGCAAGAATACAACTTGGAATTGGGTGGGGAGGATGTCTCCCTAGAGCAGGATCCTGAGAGCCTTTGCCCACCTATGTGCCTTGCCTCAAAACTGCCCTATATAGTTCTTCATATCATCCCATTTTTATTTGCCAGAAATTTTCTGGTCTCTCTTGAGAGACTGGGAGGGAGGAGGGATGATATACTTTTGTCTTTAATGTAGGTTTCCAGTTGTGCTAGAGAGACATCTGTATGGAGTCTTCTTTTTGTCCACACCCCTTTTTCAGCACTTGGACATTTATGATATCTACCTAGAATGTGAATTTGGCAATACCTTTAGATATGTTGCCTTCCTGCTTTCTTTCCTCTCTGATAAACTAATTGCTTTCCCAATAGAGACACAGTTCACAGGAACTTTATTCCCCCCTGCCTGCTTTCTACAGTTGATAGGGGCCCGTGGAAGCCTGGAATGTTAGAAATTAAAATATCCCTGAAGGAAGCCAGTCCTGGGTTCAAGCCAGGCTTTCTATATGTGACACTGGACCAGTCTCTGCCCTAATCCAATGTGACCAGTTTGCTTAGGGATAAGTTATGCTTAAGGAAAGATACTTTTGTTTACATGGGAAACAGGGACTCTTGGAAAGAAAAGTTGGACACTCAAGGACTGGGGAGTAGATCAGTATGATGGCATGAGCCAGGTGTGATGGCTTCTTTTACCCCTCACCAGACCGCTGGTCCCAGGAAGATATGCTAACTTTGCTGGAATGCATGAAGAACAACCTTCCATCCAATGACAGCTCCAAGTTCAAAACCACTGAGTCACACATGGACTGGGAAAAAGTAGCATTTAAAGATTTTTCTGGAGATATGTGCAAGCTCAAATGGGTGGAGATTTCTAATGAGGTAACTGAATCCCCCTCTTTCTGACACACATGAATATGCATCTACACATAACCCTACCTTGTCCTTCTTGGAGGGGGAAATGAAACAAAGTCTATAAACAGGAAGGAAGAAGGCCAGAAAGGTGTTCATGTGGTCACTTGTTAGCTCTCTATTTGACCTTGTGCCTGTGGAGGAGATGGCATCATTAACATTTCAGCCTAGAGGTCTTAATTCTGCCAAGGTCTCACAGGTGGCCGTGAATACTAACTGGCCTGGGGCCTGGGGCCTGGGGCTTCTGTTGCCTGAACTGTTCGAATGAGGTACTTGTCCTTTGGTGTGAGCTCCGCAGCAGGCCTGGTCAGTGCCTGGATCGTGGAGATTACCTGTATTGCAGGGCTGTTGGTCTCTGTTCTTTCAATCAATTGTCTGGTAGAGTGGTGGAAACCCATTGGGAAAGGGAGCTCTGCTATGGGGTAGCATTTCCCAGCTTCTTCTACTCACCTCCCTTCTTCCTCCAGGTGAGGAAGTTCCGTACGTTGACAGAATTGATCCTTGATGCTCAAGAACATGTTAAAAATCCTTATAAAGGCAAAAAACTCAAGGTGAGTTACCAGGAGGAGGAGCGTGAGGATCCAGGGAGGAATGGTCCAAAGAAGGAATGGTGTTTAACCTCTATTGTATCTTTGTCCCACCTTCCAGAAACACCCAGACTTCCCAAAGAAGCCCCTGACCCCTTATTTTCGCTTCTTCATGGAGAAGCGAGCCAAGTATGCAAAACTCCACCCTGAGATGAGCAACCTGGACTTGACCAAGATTCTTTCCAAGAAATACAAGGAGCTTCCTGAGAAGAAGAAGGTGGGGGGAGGGGGTTTTAGGTACGGGGAGGGAAGAGACTGGGAGCAACTGGTGGGGGTAGGCCTTAGAGGGACTTGGCATCAGGGACATAGGAATCAGCACAGCAGAATGGGGTCCCAGGCAGCTATATCTGATTGCTCTATCCCAGGCCCATACGCAGTCAAAACAGGCACCCTTGCAGGTGAAACCCAGGCCCAAGCAGTTGCTCAGACCAACCTTGACCCCTATGGACCATTCACAGTGTCCTCTTCCATACACTTCTCCATATACATGTCCTCAGTGTTAGGCCTGCACAGCAGTTTTGGATCCTTCATATTTCCCCTCATGGCCTAATTTAATGCCTGTAATATCCTCACACAAGAAACCCCAGGAAAGGGGGTTATTCTTAATGCTTTGGGCAAAAAATTGAGGTGCAGGGAGGTTAAGTGTCAGGTCACACAAGTAATGATGCTAGAGCAGGACTTGGCCTTGGCACCCTAGGCTCCCTGTCTGCTACTTTTCCCCCTCCACATCCACATGTTAAATGGGCTTTCTTCCCCATGTACAAGAATACACCTTATCTTTCCTGGCCTCATATTATCCCCTGCAGAGGTCAGACACTGTCCCAGACAGTCAGAGGTTGATGACCTCAGGCATAAGTTGCCCAGGTCTACCAGGCAGGGATGGACACAAGTCAAGGACAGCTCAGGAGGTCCCATGCAGTGATAAGAAACAAAATACTGAAGGAGTCCTGCAGATGGGACATGTGTAAGGTGGAATGAGAGAGGTAGATGAGAAGAGATACTATTTTGATGAGATGGAGCCAAGGAGAGAAGTTGATGAGGGCCATGGGGAGAGGCCAAAAGGCACACTGACTGGGAAAAAAGACAGAGTTGTACATAGCCAGCCCTCGAAAAGTGACACCTACTGCCACACTCAGTGGACCTTTTCACTGGTTCATATATACTGGCTGTAGACACATATGCTCTTGGTGCTGAACCCAAAATGGAATCAGGTAAAACTAGCCCTCTGGCCACTGCCCAAGCTAAGCAGGAGCTATGATTTATTGGAGTTATGATTAACCCCCTGATGAGGTTAAGGGACAGTGACAATACAGAAAACTCATGGAATGGGAGGGAGAGGCAAAGGATCTGAGAACCAGGGGTGGACAGAAGAAATGGGTAAAGTGGACAAGATGCTGACCTGGGGAACACAGACTTGTCCTCTTGGACTGCCACTACATTGCTATGTATGAGGCCTTGCGGTAAGTCACTTTGCTTCTCTGGGCCTGGTCTTGTCTATAAAGGCGAGCCATATCTGTGAGGTGCCTTTTGGCTCCAAAAACTTGTTTGTAGAGGGCCAAGATTGTGCAGAGGAGACATTGTTCTGCTCTTGGTTTTCTGTGGGAACCACAGGGGAAAGTGAGCCACCTCTCTGTGCTGGTTGTGTACTCTGTGAGAGGCAGGAGTTGGCTTGATCTCCAAGAGCCCCTGACTGCTTCCAGTGCTATACTTGCAATTATAGGGAAAAAAAGGGAGGAAAAGAGAGGGCTATTAGACAGAAGGTAGATAAGGAAGGGCAAGGATTGGAAACGAGGTGTAAGTAGGGGGACTCTAGAGGGAGGCAGGCAAGGAGAGGGAAAGGAAGACCAGGTGGAGAGGAGGGAGAGGGAAGGGAGCCAAGTGGCAGAGGGGAACAAGAGGCCTGAGAGGGTGCCAGTCAGCCAGGCGCTTGAAAGAAGGGATCAGAGGTAGGAAAGATGGTGATGGCTGAGGCACCAAGAGGGGATGGTTACAGAATTGGGAAGGAATGTGAGGGGCAGATGGAGCCACAGAGGTAGTATGGATGGGGAAGAAAAACCCAAGAGACAGATCTGCTGGGATGTGGTCTACCTTATAAGAATTCATTCTGAATTTCCTTCATTACAATCTCGCTTCATGCTTTGGAAGCAGGATTCAGCCACCTGGCCCTATGGGCCATCTCCAAGTAGACACACTGATGTCGGCTTCCTCAGACAGTGGGGAGAGGGAGTAATGGGAGCAGGGCCTCCACCAGACTCAACGTTGGAATTTTATGGTGTCAGAGAAAGAGGTGGGGCAATCTTAGTCCTGCCACTGACAACTTATTGGTTGTGGTAATGCCAAGTCCCGCTTCTACAACTCTCTTAAATAGAATAGGAATAAGATTCCGTGTCTGAAAGACCACTGTAGTTCCCACTGTCTGGTTCTCAGCCACCAGGTCTGGTGTGTGGTGAGCCCAATCCACTGGAAGGCACAGGCTACCATCCGTCCACATCACAGCGGGAGGCAAGAAAGCTAGCGAGGAGGGTTCCTGGTGGCTTTTGTAGCTCCGGGTGAGATAGGCCTTGGGTCCTGGATGACCCCGTCCCCTCCTCCCCCCAGATGAAATATATTCAGGACTTCCAGAGGGAGAAACAGGAGTTCGAGCGAAACCTGGCCCGATTCAGGTAAGGCAGTGAAGCCCAGAGGAGGGCCATGGGGCACTGGGTGTGACAGTATAGGCTAATGCTGGCTGGAGGCTGGTGCTGGCCATCTGCAAAATATGGAATATGATGGGTCACATACAGACCCTAATGTATTATGCTCAGGGGCAGGGGCAGGCAAGCAGCCTCTGTCCCACTAAGCCCCAGATGGAAGGCCTAGGAGGCTCTATGGGTGGGGCAGCTAACTTGGGTCTGCCCAGGCAGTGTCCCCCATTGAACCTTGCTCCCCATGCCCTGGCTAGGGAGGATCACCCCGACCTTATCCAGAATGCCAAGAAGTCGGACATCCCTGAGAAGCCCAAAACCCCCCAGCAGCTGTGGTACACCCATGAGAAGAAGGTGTATCTCAAAGTGCGGCCAGATGTGAGTGTCTGGCCAAGGGGTGGGGGTGGAGGCGCACGGTGGTGGCAAGGGGGGAGCCGCGCCAGGTCGGCTGGGCACGGTGCAGGGGAGCAGGAGAGGAGGCCCCTCCCCAGGGGTGGGCTGCATGGACAGGGCCTGGGCCAGCTGGCGTGCGAGCGTGTGTGTGCGCGTGTGTGTGAGCCTGTCCCCTTGCACCCAGGCGGGATCCCCGCCTCTCTGCCTTCTCCTCCTGGCCTGTGGGGGACACTAATGTGACCTCCTGTGGCCTGAGGGGGCGGGGGCCTCTGTGCCCCCTACCCCCCTCCCCCTGCCCCTGGCTGCCTGTGTGTGTCTGACGGCTTTTGGTTTGCAGGCCACTACGAAGGAGGTGAAGGACTCCCTGGGGAAGCAGTGGTCTCAGCTCTCGGACAAAAAGAGGCTGAAATGGATTCATAAGGCCCTGGAGCAGCGGAAGAAGTACGAGGTTAGGCTTCCGCTGCGCTCCTCCCCATCCGGCTCTTCAAGAGCCTCTGCCCTCTGACTCTGTGCCACCGCATGCTGCGGGAGGCAGTCACTCCCCAGCCATCCATTGAGGGAGGGGCCTTCTGGGCCCCTCACCTCTGTCTCTATTTTCCCTACCCCCACCCCACCATGAGATCTCAGGCTAGGGCAGGGCAGGGCACCACGGTTCGGCTCGTTTTGTGTGAAATGGCAGAAATGGCCATCCCCAGCTTTGCTCCCTGCCCCCCCTCCCCAGCGGCTCTCCCCCTTCCCCTGCCCCGGCTAACCCCACTCCCCATTGCCCTCCACCCCCCCACCTCATTCTGCAGGAGATTATGCGTGACTATATCCAGAAGCACCCTGAACTGAACATCAGTGAGGAGGGCATCACCAAATCCACCCTTACCAAGGCTGAACGCCAGCTCAAGGACAAGTTTGATGGGCGACCCACCAAGCCACCTCCGTGAGCACTGTCCTGTGGTGGGTGGGTGAGTGGGCAGCTAGGGAACTGGGCCAGTGAGGGATGTAGGCCCATGCTCTATAGCAATGAGGTCAACTGCTCACTTGCTTATGGGGTGTGTCTCTCTTCCTGCCCGTTTTGATAGGAACAGCTATTCACTGTACTGTGCAGAGCTCATGGCCAACATGAAGGATGTGCCCAGTACGGAGCGCATGGTGCTATGCAGCCAGCAGTGGAAGCTGCTGTCCCAGAAGGAGAAGGATGCCTATCACAAGAAGTGTGACCAGGTGCTTCATAGCAGGGGGCAACCCATGGAGATTTTGGGGCCCTCCTTTGGGGTTTCAAGTGTGACCCCAGCAAAGCTCAATCAGTCCTTGGTTTGCCTTGGCACCTGCTTCCAGCATGGCAGTGTGCTAAGTTTGGCATCTGGGCCTGTGAAGGCAGACAGCTCGGGCCTCTTGCCTACCATCTGTTGGAGGAGAGCAGGCCCTGGGGGAGGCTTTCTGAGGGTTCCTGTCCCTAATACTGGGGTCTTTGGTGAGCCTATTCCCAACTGACCCTGATTCCCCTCCCTTTCCCAGAAAAAGAAAGATTACGAGGTGGAGATGCTCCGTTTCCTTGAGGTGAGTGTTGCTCCAGGTGGGGACTGGGCAGAGAAGACGGGCTATGCAGGAGAGCCCTGAGGATCCCTGGAGAGCAAGTGGACTGCAGCCCCACCCCTCTGTCTTCCCCACCAGAGCCTGCCTGAGGAGGAGCAGCAGCGGGTTCTGGGAGAGGAAAAGATGTTGAACATCAACAAGAAGCAGGCCACCAGCCCAGCTTCCAAGAAGCCCACCCAGGAAGGCGGGAAGGTGGGCAGGGGCACCATCGGCCCAGTGGGAGGGGAACGAAGGGCTCCTGTAAACGGCCTGTGAACCCCGACCCTTCTGTACCTTCCCAGGGCGGCTCAGAGAAGCCTAAACGGCCTGTGTCCGCCATGTTCATCTTCTCTGAGGAGAAGCGGCGGCAGCTGCAGGAGGAGAGGCCAGAGCTCTCTGAGAGTGAGCTGACCCGCCTGCTGGCCCGCATGTGGAACGACTTGTCAGAGAAGAAGAAGGTTAGTCTTGCCCCTGAAAGGCGCCTCCCCACCAGTGTCCCCAGAGGGGCTGCTAGGACCACTTCCTCCCTTGGGGCAGCTGAGCAGCCTCGCCCCTGCCCCTGCCCCTGCCCCTGTCCCTGTCCCTGTCCCTGTCCCTGTCCCTGCGGCTTACATATGTGGCTGGTCTCAGATGCTGGGAGCCCAGCGAGCCGACCCGGAAGGCGGGAAGCTGTCAGCTACCGCTGTTGGCTCTGGGGGGAGCGGCCGGTAGGCGGGGCGGAGCCCACGGGGACATCTGTGCCGCCCACGCTTGTGCCAGCCCCTCCTCCCTACCCAGAGCTGCTGCTGCTGGTCGGACTTAGCGCGCCCCCTAGGGGTGACTCAGAGGCTGACACCTGTGTGGTCCTCCATAGGCCAAGTACAAGGCCAGGGAGGCAGCGCTGAAGGCACAATCTGAGAGGAAGCCAGGCGCGGAGCGCGAGGAACGGGGCAAGCTGCCAGAGTCACCCAAGAGAGCTGAGGAGATCTGGCAGCAGAGCGTCATCGGCGATTACCTGGCCCGCTTCAAGGTGGCAGGAAGTGGGACAGGGGTTTTCCCTGTAGCCTCCAGCCCTGGGTGACCCCTTTAGCTGATACCCTTGTCTGTCCCCAGAACGATAGGGTAAAGGCCTTGAAAGCCATGGAGATGACCTGGAACAACATGGAGAAGAAGGAGAAACTAATGTGGATTAAGAAGGCCGCTGAAGACCAAAAGCGATATGAGGTGGGAAGAGGACTGCACGCCCCCCCCCCATATAAGCTGGGGCTTTGAGCCAGAGATCCCAGCCTTGTTGTGACCCTGAACCAGTCTCAACTCGACGCTGCCCACCCCCCCAATTGAGCCTCAGTCTCATCAGTAAAATGGAGGAGATAGTATTGGCCTTCAAGGTTATTGTTGAGGGACATGAGTTCAATTCCAAAAATACATTGAAATGATAGTGCTTGACATAGGTGTGAGTTGTTAGGTAATTGTTCCCTGGCCATGCTTTGGTTTCTGCTCTTCCTGGCACATAAAAAGAGAACCAGCTAAGGCATGACAGAGTGGGGCAGGAGGCAGCAGTATTTCAGGGGTTGTGGGGATGAGTGTGACCCTTCCAGGTCTCCCCACAGAGGGAGCTGAGTGAGATGCGGGCACCTCCAGCTGCTACGAATTCTTCCAAGAAGATGAAGTTCCAGGGAGAACCCAAGAAGCCTCCCATGTGAGCCTGGGGCTGAAGCCTGCCTTGGTGTGGGGAGGGTGAGGACTAGAGGGCCTGTTGGTTGGGGGTCTTGACCCTCCCTTAACAACCCCCATCCCAGGAATGGTTACCAGAAGTTCTCCCAGGAGCTACTGTCCAATGGAGAGCTGAACCACCTGCCACTGAAAGAGCGCATGGTGGAAATAGGCAGCCGCTGGCAGCGCATTTCCCAGAGCCAGAAGGAGCACTACAAAAAGCTGGCCGAGGAGCAGCAGAAGCAGTACAGGGTGCACCTGGACCTCTGGGTCAAGGTAAGAGGGCAAAGGACCCTTGGGAGGGAGAGGGAGGCACCATCTTGTCTTATTCACCATTTCTTTCAATACCCCAGCAGTCCTAAGGGGGCAGTGTTTACTGTCACCCTTTTAAACCAAAGCTCAGAGAGGTTAAGTAATTTGCCCAAAGTCATACAGTAGGTATAAAAATTGAAATCAGACTGCCTTTCCTCTCTCCCTCTAGGACTGGGGGTCCTCTTTGGACTCTGGCTTGATTCCTAGTCTCTGAGCTTCCCTCTGTACCTTGGTTGAGTAGTAAGATCTGTAAAGTGAGGAGAATCATCTGTGTCCTCTCCAGCCACCCAAATTGGCCAAGAATTTGGCCAGAGATTAGACGCTCCAAATGTTAGATGAGCCCCAATGCCTCATCAGTGGCTCAGGGAACTTAGGACCAAGTAGGGTTGATGATATCAGGCTCTGTTGAGTCATTGTGGGGAGACTTCTAAGTTAAAGAAGGCCCCATCTATGGAGCCTCCATTTGGGTAGAGTAAGAAAATGAAAATGAGCAGTCTTGATGTATAGTGGCTTACATTAACCAGGAATGGTGGCACAAGCCTATAATCAAGGCTGAGGCAGGAGGGTGGCAAGTTTGAGGTCAGTCTGGACAACTTAGACCTTGTCTCAAAATAAAAATAAAAGGAGGTGGGGATGTAGCATCAAAAGCAGATACTTGAGCTGTATTCCTAGACTCCTGGGGCACTCTTCAGAGACCAGGTATAAAGATGGGTGATGTAAAGTCCTCAGCCTACTGCCTGGCTGGAGCTCAGTATGCTCAGCTGGCAGTAATCTGGGGAGCGTTCCAACCCCCACTTTCTCTCTGTCTCCCCAGAGTCTGTCTCCCCAGGACCGTGCAGCATATAAAGAATACATCTCCAATGTGAGTTTGGGAGCCCGGCAGTGGCATGGTGGGGGCAGGGATCCCCAGGACCTGGAACTCACAGCTGCCCCTTGTGCATCCCCATCCTCTCCTATAGAAACGTAAGAGCATGACCAAGCTGCGAGGCCCAAACCCCAAGTCCAGCCGGACCACCCTGCAGTCCAAGTCGGTAAGGAGCTTCTCCCAGATAGGGAGCAAGTATCTGTACAACAGGGTCCCAGTGCCTGGAGTGGCTGGGCCAAGACCACTGGTGTCTCTCTGCCCCTCCAGGAATCTGAGGAGGATGATGAAGAGGATGAGGATGATGAGGATGAAGATGAAGAAGAGGAAGACGATGAGAATGGGGATTCCTCTGAGGATGGTGGAGACTCCTCCGGATCCAGCAGTGAAGATGAGAGCGAGGATGGGGATGAGGTGGGGCAGGCAGGGCATGGTGGGAGGGGCAGGATTGAGTTCCACAAGGAGGGCCACCTGGTAACTGCACATCCTTTCTTCCTCTAGAACGAGGAGGATGATGAGGATGAAGATGATGATGAGGATGACGATGAGGATGAAGACAATGAGTCCGAGGGCAGCAGCTCCAGCTCCTCCTCCTCAGGGGACTCCTCAGACTCTGACTCCAACTGAGGCTCACCCCCCGGGGCAGCCAGGGAGAGCTTTAGAGCTCCCCTCCCCAACTGACCACCTTTGTCTCTCCCCCATGTTCTGTCCCCTACCCCCTGGCCTCCCCCACTTTCTGTCTTTCTTTTTCTTTTTCTTTTTTAAACAAAATATGGTGGGGGTAGGGGACTGGAGGAGCCCAGGCCAGGACTCTGTTTGCCTTGGAGCAATCGGCCCTCGGGGTCCTCCAGGGAGAGCAACCATCAGACTGAGCCAGCACTGGACCAGACCGGCCCACCCCACCCCTCTTCTGCACTTGCAGTTCTGGCATGGACAATGGACCAGGGGTGGGGAGTCCCAAAGAGTTCAGTGAGGCCCTCCACACCTGCAACCCAAACCAAGGTGGGGTGGAAGCTTGGGGAGGACCCCTTCCTTCCCAGAGGGGCTCACCACCTGGACCCCTGCATTGGAACTGGAGGCAGGGAAACTGTTGGGAGAGGCGGGCAGGTGCCTTTGAGAAAACAGGCACTGCCCTGATGGTCCTCTCCCCTGCCCCTGCAGAAAGGAGCTGCCTGGACCCACTCATGGGGGAGGGGCAGAAGTGTTTTTTATATATGTGTATATATTTTTTTTTTAAGCTCTGAGCTGTCAACGAGACGTTTCCTACCGATCCCGGCTGCCGTCTCTGTTGTCATTTCTGGGAGAGGGAGGGTTTAGGGGGTAGATTTGGAACTTTTTTTAAAAGGTCTTGATGTGTGTGGGAAAGAGAGTGTGTGTGTGTGTGTGTGTGTGTGTGTGTGTGTGTGTGTGTACGTGTACGTGTGCACGCGCACACGCTGTATATAGCATGAGTGCACCTGTGGGTGTGTTTGAGTGCGTGTAGAAAAGAGAAGGGGTCTGTCCTGGAGCCCACCTCAGTTTTTGTGAATCTGGAAAAGGGTTGGTGAGGGCCAGGGAGATGATGATCCCAGTGGGAACAGGCTGAGGCTGCCCTTCTCTGCATGTCTCCACTTTGCCTGGTCTCTGGTTCTATTTGGGGAGGGCACTGAAGCCACTCTTGATGCTTCCTATACAGTTTCCCTGTGCCAGGGTCATGTGCATCTGAGCTGCTGCTGGTCCCTACTGTCCAGCAGGAAGGCGGGAAAGGGCAGACAATGGTGTGAACCTTAAAACTTTTCTTTGATGGAAAAGGCCTTCTGGCTCATGTGAGGGGGCCAGCCTGGCCACTCTGGGTTCAGAGTCTGGGCATCAGGAAGTGTGTTGAGCTCTTATGTACACATCCCTAACTGCCTTCCCCCATGTCCTCTGGCCACCCCATTTCCTTTGATTTCTCAGGTCTGCTCCCCCTCTTCCTTGCCCCTCAACCTTATAGTTGGGAAAGGGGCTACAGAAGCTGCTTTCTGCAGCTGTCCCTTTAACCCTTGCCAGCCATCCCAAGTTTTTTGGTACCCTGATTCCTTGACTCTTAATAAGCCAAGCCACCTTATCTGTGGATTTAATTTTTGTTGTTGGCAGTTTTTACTAAATTGGTTTGAAAAAAATTTTTTTTAAAACAATCATGTCAGTGACCTATTTAATCGGGGCTTTGTGCTTCCCACCTTCCCCTCTGAATGAAAGCCAGGAATGGGGGAAGTGGGACCTCTGCCAAGGTGGTGGGGCAGAAAAGGTAAAGGGCCCCACCCCAGATAGGCTGTGGGTCTCTCAAATGAAAGCAGAGACAATCTGCTTTGCCTGGACCCTGGTGCTTGGATGGGGAGGCCTAGGGAGGGACACTCCCCACTCCCACTCCCCTTCCTTTATCCTGACCCAGGAATTAAGTACAGGAGTTTATAGGTTATTTCCTCCTAAGAACCCCTGCAAAGACCCCCCACCCAATATCCTTTATCTGAATGCCCCTGCACTATTATGTTTTAGTGGAATGTGTTTTCATTTAAAAATAACTTTGAACAGGATACTTTTCCTGTTTTAAAAATTGAAAAATTCTTACAGTACAGACAGGGCCATGGGGGTGGGGGTGTTGGTGCTGTAAGAGGTCGCTCTGAGTGCATTTTGGCACTGGGACGGGATGGCTGGGGTGGGAAGACCCCCATTCCCCCACCTTTTTTTTCTAATATTTAAGGAGTGTTTTGTAGGTTTCAACAACAACCACACTTGAATTTGTATTATGGGAGGTGGGAGGGAATGGCTTAGAGGTGTCTGCCTAAGCTTAAGGCCAACTGTGGAAGTTTTGTTTTCCCTTTTTTTTGTACAATAAAGTGAAAAATGAAGGTCTGACTGCTGTCTGGTCACTGGAATAAGTGAAAGTGGGTGGCAGGGGTGACCCAATAGGTCAGATAAACTCTTGAAGCTATCTTGTTTGCCCTTTCTAGAACCATCTTACATCATTTTGTGCTACTGTTTGGTGCTTTCTATATTCAGTTGTTCCGGGGCTGGGGATGTGGCTCAAGCGGTAGTGCGCTCACATGGCATGCATGTGGCCCTGGGTTCGATCCTCAGCACCACATACAAATAAAGAGGTTGTGTATGCCCAAAACTAACTAACTAAATAAATATTTTTAAAAAATATAAATTAAAATAAAATAAATTCAGTTGGTCCACCTGAGGTTGTCAGTCATGAAGGACTGACAACAAGTTTTGGGAACAAATGCATTTTCACCAGAGGGCACCGCCTTAGAAAATGAGGTGATAAACCACTGAGGTCAAGGGTTCATCCTGGGCATGCCAGCCCTCCTGGTTGGTGCAGGATTTATCAAGTAGTGTTTGGGGCACCCTCCCACTTTGAGCCCTCGGCTCCATCTGGGTTCAGCATGATTTCCTAACCATCCAGGCCTCTGATAGGAAGTGGCTGGGACAAGATGACTTGCCCTCTGCAGCTTATGGATGTCTGCTTTCCTTGCACAGGATTCTGTTGGGTTCCTGGAACCGCAAAGGGCTGCAACACAACCTCTGTCTAAAGACTCCACCCCTGACCCCTCTCCTGTTTTGGGCCAAACTTCCAAAACTTTCCCACTCACCATTCTCTTAAGGCTACTCTTTACACCCAGTGGACACTTGCCTGTGTCCTGCTTTCTTGGTTTACTCTGTCGGTGTCAGCCCTCCCTCCTCATTCTGTCCTAGGTGTTGCTGTCTCTCCCTTGAACCTCCTGCTAAAAAATATGAGTCCAGCCATATTTCCTGTCTCCTATATGCTTGCTCGCTTGCCCTCCCATCATGGTACAAAAACACAGAGGCCCTCGCTAGATTCTAGCACCATAATCCTGGATGTCCCAGCCCCCAGAACTATGAGCCAAATAAAATTCTATTTTACCCAGTCTGATATCCTGGTACAGTAGCAGAAAATGGTCTAAAACACCACTCTTCTACAGAACTGTGTAGATATCTATGCATCCTCTGGGGTATCTCAGAAACACCTTGTACCTCAAGACCCAAAATAATCAAAAACTATGTAGTCATTCAACCTAGAAACCATAGTGTCAGCCTTGACTCCTCCCTCCCCCTTTCATTTTCATGTCCATCACCTGGACGTGTCCATTCCACTACCTAAATCTCTCTGAAACCTGTCTAGCCTGCTCACAACTGCCATTCCCATCCTAGCATCACCATCACCCAACTTCTGCACCTTTTTTTTTTTTTTTGTAATTTATTTTTTTTTAAGAGAGAGTGAGAGTGAGAGAGAATTTTTTAATATTTATTTTTTAGTTTTTGGTGGACACAACATCTTTGTATGTGGTGCTGAGGATCGAACCCGGGCCGCACGCATGCCAGGCGAGCGCGCTACCGCTTGAGCCACATCCCCAGCCCTGTAATTTATTTTTTAGTTGGATACAATACCTTTATCTTATTTATTTTTATGTGGTGCTGAAGATCCAACCAAGGGCCCTGCACATGCTAAGTGAATGCTATACCACTGAGCCACAACCCCAGGCCCCCCCCCCCCAAAGACTTTCTTAAACTGGTCTTCCTATTTGCACTCTTGCCCCCTACAGTTCATACTGCACACAGCAGCCAAAGTTGTTTTAAAAACAAATTTGGAGAGATGGGGTTGTGGCTCAGCAGTAGAGTGCTCACCTAGCATGTGTGAGATGCTGGGTTCAACCCTCAACACTATTTATGTCTAAATCAATCAATTAATTAATTAAAGATATTGTGTCCAACTATAACTAAAATTTTTTTTAAAAAAAAATTGGTGGGCTAGGCTGGGGTTATGACTCAGTGGTAGAGCACTCACCTTGCATGTGTGAAACCCTGGGTTCAATCCTCAGCACCACATAAAAATAAATAAATTAAAACAAAAATTGGCGGGCTGGGGATATAACTCACTTGGTAGAGTGCTTGCCTCACATTCACAAGGCCCTGGGTTCAATCCCCAGCGCCATAAAAAAAAAAAAAAAAAAAAATGGCTGGGTGGGTGGCTTGATGTACACACCTTTAATCCCCAGTGACCAGGGAGGCTAGTGCAGGAGAATACAAATCCAGTCTGGGCAATTCAGTGATATCCTGGCTTAAAATAAAAAAGGGCTGGGATATAGCTCAATGATAGAATGCTCCTGTGTTCAATCCTAATACAAAACAAACAAACAAACAAACACAAACAAAAAAAAAAAAACGAAAGCTAGGCAGTGTGGTGCACACTATAGTCCCAGCTCTTGTAGTGCTGAGGTAGGAAGATCACTTGAGCACAGGAGCTCAATACCAGCCTGAGCAACATAGTGAGACCCCATTCTCAAAAACAAAAAACAAAACCAAAAATCTCTGATCACTTCAGTTTTCTTCAGATTACTCTGGTACTTAAAATTTACCATGGCCATAGAGGATGGACCCTGCATCCTCTCTTTCCTTTTGCTCCACTCTTTCTAATCATTCACAGTGATCCAGATAAGTGATCTTTCTTTTGTTTCTTGAGCATGCCTACCACAGGGTCTTTGTACTTCTCATACATACAACTGGTTTTCTCATCTTTTAGGCCTCAGCTCAAATGTTACCTGACAGATAGGCCTTTCCCAACAAGCCTCCCAAAGAGGCCTCCTCCTACATCTCCTTGTTTGTTTACTGGTCTATTCTCTCTCCCAAAGGAAATACTTTCTTGTTCATTGCAGTAATCCCACCACTTAAAACTGCCCAGCATATATATGATAACCAAGAAAAATGGTCTGAATGAATGACTAAGTATGGCCCACAGGTCCAGGATGAGGGGTCTGCTGCTCCTGCTGGGCTCCAATTCCAGCCAGCCACATTAGCCCTCTATGCTTCAAACATACCATCTTCTCTTCTAGGGTCCATACACATACTGTTCTCTCTGCCTAGTTCTCTGGGGGAAGAGGGAGGCCCTGAACCCCAACAAAAAAAGGTCTCAATGTCATGTTTCTTTGGCAGCCTGGACCTGGATGGACACCTTCATACTCAGACTTGTTTCTTCCAAGCCAGGTTTTGCTAGGCAATCAGCCCCATTAAGACAAGGTCTGTGTGACTCTCTTGTTGCTGTAACCCTAGGGCCTCACCCAGAGCCAGAATCACATCAGTCCTTAGAGTTTATAAACTGGTGCTAACTGTGGAGACTGGGCCTGTGCCCAAAGAGGTCACCACTACAGAATAGCCCTGGCCAAGCACCAAATAAATAGTAAGTCCAGTGGTAAAGAAGTTTGGTACAAGGGGCTGGGGATGCAGCTCAGTGGTTAAAAACTTGTCTCGCATGTGCAAGGCCCTGGGTTCCATCCCCAGCAGCAGCAACACCACAACAAAAAAGTTTGGTATGACAATGGCCATGATGGGGGGTGGGATATGAGGAAAAAATTAGGTAAAGAGAGAAGAGCCATGAAGGTTTCTTGGGCATGTGCAAATTCCTTAGGGGAGGATGTTGTGGATATGTTTAGGTAAGAAACAAAGCAGCATCACTGGACTAGAGAGGTAGAAGACAAGAGGTAAGGAAGGCTGAGGCCATGCTGTATAAGTTCCTAAAGATATATCCTCTAGATCCAAGTTCAACCACCTTCTGAGTCTCTACAGATTAGTCCCACAGTAACCCAATATATTCCAAACTGAACTTGTCGTCCTCCTGAATCCTCTGCAGAGTTCCTCACTAGTTAAACACTGGTTTAAAATGTTTTCAGGACCTCCTTCTCCTTTACCTGATACAGCTCAACCAATAATGAAAACCTACTGCTTTTCAGAATGATAAACTTAAAGTGCAAGTCTGCTCAAACAATTCCCTTTCAGGACTCCTCACTGCTTATAGGGTTAAAGCCCACAAACTCCTTGGTGCACACTTAGACCTGTATGATCTGGCCTGCTCACCTCCTGCAGTTTCCCCATCCATTCCTGTCCCCAACAGTCCCAAGAGTGATCCCTATTCTGAAGCTCACTGTTGGGATATCTAATGCTGTCTTGACCTTCTAGTTCACCTTCCCCTGCAAGAAGCCTTTCTTTAGGGCCAAGTGCAGTGGCACACCCGGGAGGCTGAGAGTTCAAAGCCAGCCCCAGCAACTGTGAGGCGCTAAGTAATTCAGTGAGACCCTGTCTCTAAATACAAATAGGGCTGGAGATGTGGCTCAGTAGTAGACTGCCCCTGAATTCAATCGTCGGTACACGCCCCCCCCCCAAAAAAAAGCCTTTCTTGACCAATTCTCTTACATCCTTTGCTGTTTCTTTCTGGCTGTCTCTGAACTCTGTGCATATCTTTTTTGTTTTTAATCACACTATTATGCAATTATTTTCCAACAAATCTACCTACCTATCCCACTAGATTGTACATTTCTTGAAGAAGCACACTGTCATATTTCATATTTGTATCCCAGCACCCGCAGCGCATTAAGAATAACAGCCAAACCGGAAGGGGTGGCTCACGCCTGCAATCCCGGTGGCTGGGGAGGCTGAGGCAAGGAGGATCTAGAGTTCAAAGCCAGCCTCAATAAAAGAGAGGTGATAAACAACTCAAGTGAAACCCTGTCTCTAACTAAAATACAAAATAGGGCTGGGGATATGGCTCAGTGGTCGACTTCCCCTGAAGTTCAAGCCCTGGTACCAAAAAAAAAAAAAAAAGAAAGAAAGAAAAAAAGAATAACAGCCAAGATTTACCAAGCATTTACACTGACCTACAAATCTCACGCACTGGCTTATTAATCTTTATGGTTTTTATACCCACTGACAATGTTAGAAACTGAGGTACAGGGAATTCACTTGCCAAATCCATTCACATCCGACTCCTTGGAAAACTAAAAGATCCAATCATGGTCTCAAGTATGTGATTTCAGACTTTAACCCTATCTCCTGAGGAAAGA